ACACTGCTCACACACTGCCCCCCTCACACACACACACACTGCACCCCTTACACATTGCACCACTCACACACACCACTGCTCCTATGCCCTACTACCGCCCCATTTCCCAGCAGACCTCAGGTAAGTTGTCAAACTATTCTTAAACGGTTTGACTACTTACTCTAGGAGGGGGTCCCGGCACTATTGACACCATAACCACTACACTGAGCTGTAGTAGTTATTGTGTCTGGATTATTTCTTTAAATAATCTACAAGTGCCCCTCCCGAGATCAGGCTCTGGATCCGCCACTGGTCCACAGTGAGAGAGGCCTCTAGTGGCTGTCAGGGAGAGGGATCACAGCACTCCATCCTTGTAATTAAAACAATGAATTTAACGAATTGCATGAACATATTTAGTCAATTCTTTATTAATTAATTACTGAAAGTTTTGACTAATTTACATTCCTCCAATAAAGAAATGCATGTCTCCCTAGCAGACTGCGTGTGTTTGCCTGCATATCTCCTTTCAGTTGTTGCTAAAAGCAGTTACTTTGTGTTAAAATTGAAGACCTCTGCTGGCCACTATATTAATGACAAGTCATCTCTGTGTATTGATTCCTTCCAGGTTTACTTGTATAGCTTGAACACACAGATTAGATCTGTTCTTTGTGTGGGAAAGATGTAACACTGTTTATTAATCTATTATTGTTATTCTATGGGGCGGTTTCACTAAGTGAGTTTAGCACACTACTGGGTGACTCAATCTCTTACAATAATATTCATTCATTGGAAGGAGTTTCACTGGTTTCATATTATCACAGCCAGGAGTTGGCCTGGGGTGGCTGAAGGTTAGATAGAAATTAATGAAGAGATTATATAAATGTGAAGGAGAGGGAAGAGAATAGATCAGGAGCAGGCAACCTTTGGCACTCCAGGTGCCGTGGACTACATCTGCCATAATACTGGCAAAGAAAGCTGCTCACTTTTGCTGGGAACTTGTATAAACTACACCAAGTGCCTTTTCTGCTAAAAAAAAAATATATGACCTTAAAATTGTTTTTGAGGTTTTTATTTTTTTTAAAATATGATGGTCACGTCTCCAGAAATTAATGTGATAAATGGACACTGTAGGCATCCAGACCACTTCAGCTCATTGAAGTGGTCATGGTGCAATGTCCCATGTCCATTAACCCTGCAAAAGTAACGATTGCAGTTATTGAGAAACTGCAACAATTACTATCCAGGGTAACGGACCTTGGGTTCTTTAACTGACGCTTACTCTCTGCAATGAATAATGCTTTCCTATGGGGAAATACTAATGCGAGTGCGGTCATTGCTGTGCCTGCACATTAGGTCTCCCTCGCCAGGTGACGTCTGTGGGGGAGGAGCGTGGGTGGAGCCTGACCCAGCGCCGATCGAAATCGGCGCTGGATTCAGGTAAGTGACAAAGGGTTTTAACTCCTTCAGCGCCAAGAGAGGGGGGCACATCAGGATTCTATAGTGCCAGGAGAACAGCACTATAGAATCCCTTTAAATATAGAGGATAATCCTAGGATGTGTTGGTTCAAGATAATAATATTATTATCGCCATTTATATAGCGCCAACAGATTCCGTAGCGCTTTACAATATTATTAGAGGGGGGATTTAACTATAAATAGGACAATTACAAGAAAACCTACAGAAACAATAGGTTAAATAGGGCTCTGCTCAAACAAGCTTACAGTCTATAGAACGAGCTCACAGTCTATAGGACGAGCTTACAGTCTATAGAACGAGCTGACAGTCTATAGGACGAGCTTACAGTCTATAGGACTAGCTTACAGTCTATAGGAGGAGCTTACAGTCTATAGGACTAGCTTACAGTCTACAGGACTAGCTTACAGTCTACGGGACCAGCTTACAGTTTATGGGACTAGCTTAAGGTCTATAGGACGAGCTTAGAGTCTATAGGACGAGCTTAGAGTCTATGGGAGGAGCTTACAGTCCATAGGACTAGCTTACAGTCTATAGGACGAGCTTACAGTCTATAGGACTAGCTTAGAGTCTATAGGACGAGCTTACAGTCTATGGGACGAGCTTACAGTCTATAGGACGAGCTTACAGTCTATGGGACCAGCTTACAGTCTATGGTACTAGCTTAAGGTCTATAGGAGGAACTTACAGTCTATAGGACGAGCTTACAGTCTATGGGACGAGCTTACAGTCTATGGGACCAGCTTACAGTCTATGGGACTAGCTTAAGGTCTATAGGAGGAACTTACAGTCTATAGGACGAGCTTACAATCTATAGGAGATATAAAATGTATTATATTTAAAGTATTTTAATTCTGTAAAATTCTGCCTTGTGCCAGCTCCCCTAATTCCAACATGCTGTTTGTAATGCATACAAAGCTACCATCTTGCACATTACCAGTCAAAATAGTAGAGCTAAAAAATAGATCAATTGTTCTGTTATACATGGTGGTTGGCTTGTAATCACTTACTAGGGCTGCATTTACTGTCCATGAAATCTGCCAAGAATATAACTCGGTGATAATGGGTGGAAATGATGTATTAAGAGATTTAACCCCTTGAGTGCCTGCAGTGTGGAGTTTGCTTTCACAATCAAAGTGTTAACAGTGATGTCATTGCATTCAATTTAACTGTTAGCATGGAAACACCATAACCACTAAAGTGCTGCGTAGCAATAATGGTGACAAGCATGCCCTGGTGAGCTTCAATGTAAGTATTCAAACTGTTTTAGAATGGTTTGACTTACCCTGAGTTTGCCTGCCTCTTCGCTAAGCCCATTAGTCCATGACTTAGCTCATTAGCTGAGAGAGATCAGCTCACACTCTCAGCCAATGAGCTGTTTCTGTGCTGCAGGGCGTAAATGGACATTCTAATGTCCATTTAAAATAATCACTATTTAGTAGATATACCCCTAATGAAACCATGCATGTGTTTGTTTATAAATTTTTAAAATTGGGAGTATATCTTAAACAGATGGCAAAACCTGCAGATTTCTTGTCTGCAGCCTTTGCAAACCATCGTCTTCTAACCCCGCCCAGACTTTCTGTGGCTGTCCAATCACAGACTCCCAATACAGCTCAGTGAGACGTGTTTGAAAGGCAGGAGCTCAGGGCAATTGCTGCCTCTTGAGTTTAGTTCCTCTTAACAAAGTTAATTTATATGAACGCCAATTCGTACTGAAATCTGCACTTTTTGTTAAATGGAAATGAAAAAAAGAGGGCCAGTTTTTACACATAGCACTTCAGGACGCTAAACTGCTTTAGGTGTTTGGGGTGTTCTTTTAACTCATAGGAACAAATAGAAGCTCCTAGCAGTCTCTTAGACAATAAGAAAGTGGTAGGGAGCAGCGCTCTGGTAAGAAGTCAAACCATTCTAAGACGGTCTGACTGCTTACATTGGGACCCGCCACTGCACTCCTGGCATACTAATAGCTATTTATATAATGCGTTGAGCAAGAGGCATGGAAGATGTACAGTTCCCAGTAAGGCCTGTAGGGAGTGTCTAAGCTAGCACTGATACTCCAAAGGTATTTTCCTGGTACCATGTCACATTTTTAAATCAGGATTTATGTTTTGTTTTTTAAGGGACCACTATAGGCACCCAGACCACTTCAGCTTACTTTTTTCTATAAACATAGCAGTTTCAGATGTTTATAAATGGGTTAATCCAGCCTCTAGTGGCTGTCTCATTGACAGCCACTAGAGAGCTTCCGCGCGTCTCACTGTGATTTTCACAGTGAGAAGACGCCAGCGTCCATAGGAAAGCATTTTGAATACTTTCCTATGGACTGGCTGAATGCGCGCGCAGCTCCTGCCGCGCATGCGCATTCAGCTGGAGAGGAGGAAGAGAGCTCCCCGCCCGGCGCTGGAGAAAGAGGTAAGTTTAACCCCTTCCTCCCCCCAGAGCCCGGCGGGAGGGGGACCCTGAGGGTGGGGGCACCCTCAGGGCACTATAGTGCCAGGAAAACGAGTATGTTTTCCTAGCACTACAGTGGTCCTTTAAATCCCATGGAGTGCATTACTCAACTGGAAATGAACGAGAATTGACAAAGGAATTGCAAATTTGGTGCCATAATGGGCAAATTAAAAAGTAGAATGTTTACAAGTTGCCATATTTGGCATAATATTTGAAATGATCCCATCTGGTCTTGGATTACTCAATAATGCCCCATGTATCTTAAATTATAGGGAGCCTGTGAGCTTCCATGCTGGATTTGTAAGGGTCCATTGAGCCATGAATGATGGGGAAATAACTGTAGGCCTTGGTAGCAGAAATGGAGCTATAATGCCTTGTTATTTTGCACAATTCCTGCATTAGAGAATAAGCCAGCACAGGCAGGATATGCCTGAGGTCCAGCTAGACAAACAATAAGGGGTGTATTTACTAAACATGGAAACGGCAGGTAAATGCTCTTTAGTTGTCAGCGCTGGTTTAATCCATTCAGATTTTCGCAAAAGGTACTTTTGGTTATTTCAATTGCATTTGCACTTCCATTTTCTGTAGATCACTGATTCAATTTCAATTGAAATCCGTCAAATGTCCATACAATGGCTTCAGGGCCAGATTAAGAGCCTAGTGGGCCTGGTGCGGACAATTATGATGGGCCTAATTACAAAATCTTATGGACCAAAAACACTAAAACAGTCCTACCTCCTAAGCATCATGTATCTGATGGAGATGGTGCTGGAGGGAAACACATAGGATGCAGCTATGAGAAAACACATACCCTATGCTAATCTCACGCTTTCAAGTAAACCCATACCCCCTAACACCGGTTTCCAGTAACTCAGGAAGTCTATGGATGGGGTAAAAGGGTGGGCCACTGACACAAATCACATAACCAGAAGTGCCGAAAGGGACGAACATACACAAAAATGGGGCATTTCTCTGTCCCCATGTCTCCCAGTCCCTTAGTGTCTGTGTTCCCATGTATCCCAGTGTCCCCATGTCACTAGGACACTAGGGGACATTTAGACACTGGGAGACCTGGGGACACAGACTCTTGGGGACACTGGAAGACATGGGGACACTGGGTGACTTTTAGACATGAGCGGACACTGGGAGACATGGTGCACTAATACAATGTGATACATAGGGGACACTGGAGACTTGATAAAGACCTGGGTACAGGTCAAAACGTTGCAGTGTTCAATAAACCTGCTTAAATATAACACAGTGAGTGCCTGAGATTCTTTTATACTAGGGGGCACTGGGAGACTAGGGGATTCTAAGAGACCAGGGGACACTGAGACACTACGGACACTGAGACACTATGGACACTGAGATACACCAGGGACACTGGGAGAGATGGGGCACTGAGACACTCTGATACATAGGGGACACTGTGATACATAGATGACACTGGAGACTCGATACAGGTCAAAACGTTGCAGTTTCCAATAAACCTGCTTAAAGGACCACTATAGTGCCAGGAAAACATACTCGTTTTCCTGGCACTATAGTGCCCTGAGGGTGCCCCCACCCTCAGGGTCCCCCTCCCGCCCGGCTCTGGAAGGGGGAGTGAAAACTTTGCTTGCGCTGGGCGGGGAGGCTCTCATGGCCTCAGATGCTCATCCTCCCGATCCGGAAGTGGGCTGAGGATGCGCGGCCGGCAGGAAACAACGGCGGCCGAGGATAAGCATGGAAGGCATTCGCTGAGGTAACCACTGCCGGGCCTTCGATGCTCTCACTTTGTGATTTTTCACAGTGAGGAAACGCATAAAGCGCCTCCCAACGGCTGTCAATGAGACAGCCACTAGAGAGGATTTGGAGGAAGAGCTTAACCCATTGATAAACATAGCAGTTTCTCTGAAACTGCTATGTTTATAAAAAAATGGGTTAACCCTAGAAGGACCTGGCACCCAGACCACTTCATTAAGCTGAAGTGGTCTGGGTGCCTAGAGTGGTCCTTTAAATCTATCACAGTGAGTGTCTGAGATTTTTTTATTTTATAATAGGGGACACAGACACTAGGAGACATGGGGACACTGGGAGACATTGGGACACAGACACTGGGAGACTAGGAAACACTGAGACACTAGGGACACTGGCACACTACGGACATTGAGAGACACCAGGGACACATGGGGGTACTGAGATACTAGGGACACTCGCTGGAAGACATGGGGACACTGGGAGTGCCCCATATCTCCCAGGTCTCAAAGTTGCTCAGTGTCTTCATCTCTCCCTGTGTCCCCCAGTATCACCATGTCTTCCTTAGAGTCTGTGTCCCCATGTCTCCCAGTGTCCCCATGTCACTAGGACACTAGGGGACACTTAGAGACATTGGGACACTGTGAGACATGGGGACACAGACACTGGGAGAGACTAGGGGACTCTGGGAGACTAGGGACACAGACACACCAGGGACACTGGGAGACATGGGGACACAGAGATACCAGGGACATTGGGAGACACTAGGGACACTGGCTGGGAGACATGGGGACACAGAGACTAGGGGCCACTGGGAGACATGGGGCCACTGTGTCCCTAGTGTCTCAGGGTCCCCATGTCTCCCAGTGTCCCAATGTCTCAGCGTCCCCAAGTCTCTCACCATTCCCATGTCTCGCAGGCTCTGAGCTGCTGTCTGGCCTCTCTGTGCAGAGCTGTTCCCCCGTGGATTAGTGAGTAGAGAGAGGCAGGGAGGGAGATGCTATAACTTCTTATTCCTGCCTCTTTCCACACAAACAGCTGGTATTGCAGACTAATCTCTGCTTATACTCTGTTTATTACTGCAATACTGGCACTGGCTAGGCAGCCTCAAATACTTCTGAGAAATACCTGGCAACCATAAGAAATACACGCGAAATACCTGGCAATCCTAAGAGTAGTGAGTAAATTTAAAAAAATATATATATTTTTTTTTTTTTAAATCAATGGGCCTGGGCCTGCAGCTGCAGCTCCATCAGCCCCTATGTTAATCCGGCCCTGAATAGCTTAACAAATAGCCTTAATTTGGTTGTTCCAATTCCCCTAATAAAGACCATGGAAACTGCACCTAAAACTCTAACCCCATAAGTACTTAAATCCCCTAAAAACAATAAGGACACACTTTAAATCCCCCAAATCCTATCTTTACATGATCAGCATTTTGTAGCAGGGATGTTCAGTGACAGTCGGCCTGCTATTCATTTGGAAATCAGCTAAACTATTTTGAAATAAAACTCACTGCCGCAATAAGATCCATTTGGCTGAATTAGGTTGTCATTGAGTTAATACTGGATGCAGTGAACCACACAGGAATTCTAATAACTAAACGCAGGATAACTGAGCAGAAAGAAATCAGCCGAATTTGTAAAAGCCTATTCAGTGTCAAAGGATCACTTCATTTTAATGGAATGGCCGGATGCAGTGGACCTGTAGGTTTACTCCTGTGATTACAGGGCTAATCAAACCTAGGTTGTCACTGCGGAGTACCCTTTCGCCTGTGATTATATCTCATAGTGGTTATAGCTCAATGCCGCTGTAGTTTCGCTATCTCACCCAAACACTAGCTGAGACTTAGTGAAGAGTGGAAAACTGATTTATTGGCACAATGATCACACTTGTATACCTCTGGCCTCAAGATGAAGTCCCCAGGAGAACAATAGCATTGTGACATCCCCGGCACCTTGGTGTCTGTACCTGAGCAGATAATTTAATTAGAGGGCAGACACCTTGGCACCGGGTTAACAAAATAGGGTTCCCGTGCCCAAATCTGTACAATAGTGCCATCCCTGAGAAGCTCTCTTCTGATCACACATTCTGTCCAAAAAGTGATCATAACCGAGGGGTCTAGCACAAGTTAGATGGAAGGTGAAGTATTCAGCAGGCTGTGACAATCCTCCGATGCGGCGTAGAGTTTCAGAGCACTGCGTATAAATCCCAGTCATCTAAAATAATGGCATTTTCGGACAGAACATGGAGCTCCCTCTTGGTGCCATTGGATACCTCACCACCTCCTCTGTCATCCCTCCAAAAAGTGCACTGATAGGTGGTTCAAGGACCGAGAGCACCCTCGTCAAAGTTGTACTGGAGCGTGGCAACTCCGCAATCCGATCAGGATTTCCAAAGAGTCTGAGGGTTGCTGCCAGTCAGGCACACCGTACCTCAGCGGGACTACGGCTGGCCTATGAGGTCTCCTGGGCCATGGGAAAGGAGTGCTGGGCTAGAGGGGTAAATAGTGGTCATTATATTCTTTTTGGAGGAAGGATGTGGTTGGGAGACAGTACCAGTCCTAGGTGACTAGGTGGTCTGTCACAGAGAATTTTAAAATTGTGACTACTTGGCCTTCAATTTGAAATTTACTTAGAATTTCCGACAATTCTCCATGTAGTAAATAACTCTGTGTATGTGACACCAAAATGGATATTTCAGCAAGTATTTTGCAAGTTGACTCAACTGAATTTATACTGGATAGGCCACAATGTCGCATGGCACAAGCAGTAAAAAAAAAAAAAAGCCCCAAAATCAAGTATACATGGGGAAGAGAGAAGAAAACGCAGGAAAAATGTTGGGGAAGAGAGAAGAATTTTGGATTTTTGATATTGGAAGTTCCTGTCCATATGGTTTGAACCTTGATTTGACCTAATCTTGAGCTATAAAAAAAGGAAATATTTCTCTTACTGTATGCATTATTCATGATCCCTACACATAATAAACGATGTGTTGAAGCAGATACTATACAGGATGCAACAATCACGTCTAGAGCAAAAACAGCTGTCTTAAACTTTAAAAAAAATATATATATTTCAGCATGATTTTTTTACACGAGAAAAGCTATTTGCTGTACTAGGTAATTGATGTGTGCTAGATAGAGTACAATTTAGAAGAGTAATCGTCCTGCTGCAAAATGTGCTGGTGATTTTGTTAATAGTAAATAAAGTTTTTAACCCCTTAAGGACAAAACTTCTGGAATAAAAGGGAATCATGACATGTCACGCGTCATGTTTCCTTAAGGGGTTAAATAATGTGTTTTTTGTAAACACTGTGGTCCACAAGAATTTGGACAGTGACTCTGGTTATTCTTGTAATGACTTTGCACTTCACAAGTGGGATGATAAAATAAATAGAGACTAAAAGAATGAAAGCAGTTCTGTCACTTTGAGTATTTCCTAAAGATGTAATTCTCATGCCGTGTTGGTATTCCACTGAAATTCCAAGTCAATCCAAACATACCAGAAGACAAAGTAGGGACTCCGTGGACTACCATGCATTGTGGTAAATTCTGTCACCTTTTGTCCAATCCCAGCAGGAATCATGCGTCATCTTGCGAGACGTGATCTATGAAGGCTCATGTGGGATAGTCAAGAGACCTCAGTGTTGTATTCTCTCAAATGCACAAAATATGCAAAAACTCATAAATGTGACTGTTGCGATTTATATGCACTGTGATATAAACTGCTAGCTATGTTGGGGTAGCAGGCCTTTTTGTTACTGGTGTGGGGTGAGAGTCTGTTAAGAGAAATTTGTGTTTGAAATCTCATGTTTGCTTCTGCCAGGTAGCAGGTGCATTATGGGAACTGGAAGATTTCTCTCCACCGCCTTGGAGTATGTCAGTATGTCACTGAATAGCATATTAGTGATGGTGGGATACGGCGTATCCAGTTACACATTCATCTTGTTTACAGGACAAACACACCATTTCCCATTTTTATTACTTTTATAGGTAAATTTATGATATTGTTACAATACATTCTAGTTTATCCAACAAGTTTATCAGTTCACTCTGTATCGAACTGTGATTTAAAGTGGCACTCTTGTCTGGGGAATTTGCATAATTTGCAAGACCGACACAAACCCCATAGAAGGAACCAATTTCCTGCAGCAATCACAGAGGACGGCTGGGGGATTGACAATTCTAGATGGTGGTAGCTCTGCCCAGTGTCTAGAAGTGTCAGGCGTAGGAAGTCCCTACTCTGCCTCTGTATGTCTCTTGACTGGGCTGGAATTTCAGTGACATTCCAACACAGTGGAAAAGAGGATTTCATCAGAGACTATCTTTAGTCAATTCTCATTTTTCGGGGTGGGGGTGACAGAGCCACTTTAAATGTAACTACTGTGCAAATTTGAAAGTAGGAAGCTCCTAGGTTAGAAGTTTGTTTGAGCAGGGCGTTCTTCAGCTCTTGTGTTTGTCAACATTATTTTTGCCAATTACCGTTTGTTAATTAAAAATTCTGCAGAAAATGTTGCAGCCATATAAATGCTAAAAATAATAATAATGGGATAGTTTGCCAAACTTCTATTATTGGTTGTGTATTGGCAGGTGACACATAATAGCTCCTTACTAAGTAAAGTGTAATCTACTATAGAAAAAGTCATGGGAATTCCAGCTGCCGTATAAAAAGAATATATTGTTGCCATTAGAAGCGGTCCAGACATAATGATATGTGTAAATTCTTTGCAGAGGTTATGAGACAGTGAATTACATATTTTAAAGTGATATTGTTTACAGTATGTCTGTGCAACAGATGGTGCGCTGGGCCAAATATACTGAATGGGACTCAGCATAATGTCCCCTATACGTTATCTCACAAAACAGCCTTGCAAATCTGACTGGATTCATGCCCTCTACTGTAGCAAACTTGATTAACTGGAAACATAAAATAGAACTGTATTAGCATTTCACACAAAGGCACAGCTCGTAGATATGTAATAAATACTGGAATAATTTGTATCTTAGTATTTACACCTAGAAAGTGTAATAGAAACTGCCAGGCAGATATAAAAGCCTGAAACCAGATTATGGGCATAGGAACCAAAGCCCATAGTAATCCCTGGACCTCTAAGGGAGCATATAGTTTTCACCTGCACTCCTGCATTGTGGGCCAATTTAAATGCACTGTTTAGGTATCACATCAACTTTAACGTAATGAAGCCGTTTTGGTGTATAGATCAGGCCCTTGCAGTCTCAATGCTCAGTTCGCTGCCATTTAGGAGTTAATCACTTAGTTTATAGAACCTTAGGCACACCTCCCTGCATGTGACTCCCACAGCGTTCCAAACACTTCCTGTAAAGAGTCATCTAATGTTTACATTTCCTTTATTGCAAAATCTGTTTAATTTAGAATTTATCTCCTGCACTCTTAATAGCTTGCTAGACCCTGGCAAAAATGAAATAACTTTTAAAATGAGATAACATCTGATAGAAAATGAAACCATTTTGTTTTCATGCAGACTGTGTCAATCACAGCCAGGGGAGGTGTGGCTAGGGCTGTGTGGACAGAAACAAAAGTGATTTAACTTCTAAATACAGTGAGCTGAGCAGTGAAACTTCAGAGGCATTATCTATACACAAACTACTTCATTAAACTAAAGTTGTTTTAGCTATAGTGTCCTTTTAACTTGCTTTAGAAGTTATTAACTTCTGTTCTGTAAATTTAACTTTAATTACATGTAGGAGGCCCCTGCAGGGTCTAGCAAGCTATTAACAGAGCAGGAGATAAGAAATTCTAAATGAAACAGAATCTGCAGTAAAGGAAGTGTAAACATTAGATCTCTCTTTACAGAAAGTGTTTAGGAAGGCTGTGTAATTCACATGCAGGGAGATGTGACTAAGGCTGCATAAACAAAAGTAAAGTTATATAATTACTAAATGGCAGAAAATTGTGCAGTGAGACTACAGGGGCATGAGCTATACACCAAAACCGCTCCATGAAGCTAACATCTGTTTTATTCATTTATTTGTAAATTAAATATAATTAAACTAGTGATATTTACTAAAGCATAATAACGACACCTATAGCTAACTGGTAGTTGGATTTTCAGTAGTGCAAACAAGTCAACTAGTTGCAGTTAATTTTTAATGGGTAGCAAACTTTTTGCTTCAAGGGAAGTTAAAGAGAGCAACTCTGTGTCTTTTGCCCTAATTTCTTTGTACACTGCACTGAATACGGGCTTAATGAGAGCAAGCATACACGGATTCAGAATGTTTGTAAACAATAGGCACCAAGATACTTCCGGGTGGCAGCCCTCAATACTAGCTCTCCATTGCCTTCCTGCAGAACCTAAAAGGTAAGAACAGTCACGTCACCAGGCTCATGTCTGGAACCAGAATCCTGTTACCGGTCACAAACCACCGCCAGGTAGCCGAAATGGTGATTTAGTAGCATGGATTGGATGTAGCCCCGAGCCGGGGTTAATGATTCACCAATCCATCCTTTGTGTCACCACGTGGTGCTACTCCCTGAGCCAGAGACAGGATGGGGCCCCAGACACGCAGCTCACCGCAGGCAAACCAGCACTGCGTGGGGCACAGCACCGGCATGACAGAGGTTAACACCACCACTACCATCCCTCCATGTGTTGAGCCAGCCAGTGATTAAAAGGTTAACCCATCACCCCAGGGTAACACACATTGTGTATTGACATCTAGTTAACCCTAAGAGTGCCAGAGAAGGCCGTGAAGCGCTAGGCACCCACCTGGCACTAAAAGGGTTAACCCTGGCACTGAACGGGTTAACTGGACATCCAGCCAGACACTGTGGAGAGCATGGAGGCCCCGGACCCTCGTACCGGCAGACCAGAGCCCCCTCCCTGATGGGCTGCGTGCGACCTGTCACTGGATGCCCACAGTCACCGGGCAGGGAAAGGCCGGGGCCCCCGCAACCTGTCAGCACCGGTGGTCAGCAGCTCACACCCGGTCACCCATCACTCATCCTGCCTGTCTGCTACAGGCCAGCCTGCGCTCTTACTGGGGAGACCGAGCAGACAGAGATCCGCCGCACAGTGCAGGAAGACAGGAGGGAAGCGCCCCTTCAGGGATGGCAGCAAAATGAGAAGAGGGAGCAGAAAGCCTGCCGTTCGCGCTCATGTCATGAGTGGTATGTATGTTATGAACGCCAGCGGTATGTATGTTATGAGCGGGAAGTCCGATGGCACCACTTATTGTTACACCCCCCCTCTCAAAATATTGTAAAGCGCTACGGAATCCGTTGGCGCTATATAAATGGCAATAATAATAATAGTAAATAGCTTTATAACGGAGTCTGCCGCGATGTGAGGGGACAGACTCCGTTATAAAGCAATTTACTAGTGGTGCCATCGGAGAACGCTTCAGCTTTTGCCACCCGGAAGAACGTCTGTTATGGTTGTAACGTCATGGTGAAAGCTCCTATAACATCCGTTGACTCTGTGTACTACATATAGGAGCTGAAACCTCTCTAAATTACTGGGGGGGGGGGGGTTGATTAGTTAGGTTTACCAATATGATTTTTTTTATGACTGCTTATGAATTCTGTGGAGAAAGGTTTGGAAGTGCTGCCCAACAGTATGTGGCATTGATCGGCTATTTATATGAAATTAATGAAATAACCAGTTTGGGTCCCAAACAAATGCTCTATGTTTGGCTGAATGATTTCACCCCAGGATCATGACACCCACCATACAGTCAAGCAGCACTTTCAAAGTGCAGAGTTCATTTCAGTTTGTGATTAGAGCAGCTTGGGTCCATACAGAATTTACCCCATGAAAACAACATATAAAAGGCTGGAAATGAGAGAAAATGTATTACAATATTTACTATAGCAAAGATATATATATTTTTGGCCGTTTCTTTACCTGCCAAAACTTGCCATCAAGTAATTATAATTTCCTGAAGTATTTCCCCCTTTAAACAAGGACCGCAAAGCTTGAGAAAACATTTCCTGTTAATTATCACTCCCTGGAATGCCACAGGCTCTATGATTACAAGTTAAAGTATCTTTTCAGCTGTTCCTTCCTTTGTTTATCAACTCAACGGGAAGCAGGGCTGAAGAAGGAATGAAACGGCAAAATAGCACTTATATGTCTAAGCCCACTTGCCAGGGAAGTTTGGCTAGAGCTGAAGGAACTGATGTGCAGAGGCCATTCTGTAACAGGGCCTTTTATTGAACATTGTGCATCTGCTACTTAAACACTAACAGGTTATTTATAACCACAGCAACATGAGCAAAATAGTATTTAGAGTGGAGAAAAGGAACGGACTCCTTCTAGGTTACCAAAGATACACTATGGCTGGCGGACTGTTTAATTAGCTCTATATGAAGCATGCAGTCATTTCTTAGTGGAAATTTTTTACGGGGTTAATAAGAATATATCTTAAGAGTTTCGAACGGCTTTCATCACTAAACGTTATAGCAGATGTACAGAATCCGCCAGAGTGATTTTTATTTTCATTTAGAAAGTAAAGAGGCTTGCATGTGTAAGGTAATTTCAGGATTTCATATAACAGGATCTGTGGCAATTCAACTTTGAAGAGACACTTTTTGTTAAAGAACACTGAACTGTTTAAGTTTTAAAATATAAATATTGTTAAAGAGTAGTGGTTTTTACATGAACGGTGTCTGCTAACAGTAGCTGTTACTTTAATCTATTATCTTTGATATTGAAGAAAAGCATGAATAGTAATATAGCCACAGTGAGCAGCCATCTTGCTTTTTTGGAGACTGCAACCAAAGAGGCTTCAGTTCTCCAATAACAAGTTAGAAATTAGCTAACATATCATGCAGGAAAGGGTGATAAGCGCCCCGCTGAAACCAACATAACATACAGGAAAGGGTGATTAGCGCCCCGCTGAAACCAACATAACATACAGGAAAGAGTGATTAGCGCCCCGCTGAAACCAACATAACATACAGGAAAGAGTGATTAGCGCCCCGCTGAAACCAACATAACATACAGGAAAGGGTGATTAGCGCCCTGCTGAAACCAACATAACATACAGGAAAGGGTGATTAGCGCCCCGCTGAAACCAACATAACATACAGGAAAGGGTGATTAGCGCCCCGCTGAAACCAACATAACATACAGGAAAGGGTGATTAGCGCCCCGCTGAAACCAGCGTAACATACAGGAAAGGGTGATTAGCGCCCTGCTGAAACCAACATAACATACAGGAAAGGGTGACTAGCGCCCCATTAAAACCAACATAACATACAGGAAAGGGTGATTAGCGCCCTGCTGAAATCAGCATAACATACAGGAAAGGGTGATTAGCGCCCTGCTGAAATCAGCATAACATACAGGAAAGGGTGATTAGCGCCCCGCTGAAATCAGCATAACATACAGGAAAGGGTGATTAGCGCCCTGCTGAAATCAGCATAACATACAGGAAAGGGTGATTAGCGCCCTGCTGAAATCAGCATAAATAACAGGAAAGGGTGATTAGCGCCCCGCTACAGGAAAGGGTGATTAGCATAACATACAGGAAAATTAGCGCCAACCAACATAACATACAGGAAAGGGTGATTAGCGCCCCGCTGAAACCAACATAACATACAGGAAAGGGTGATTAGCGCCCCACTGAAACCAACATAACATACAGGAAAGGGTGACTAGCGCCCTGCTGAAATCAGCATAACATACAGGAAAGGGTGATTAGTGCCCCGCTGAAATCAGCATAACATACAGGAAAGGGTGATTAGCGCCCTGCTGAAATCAGCATAACATACAGGAAAGGGTGATTAGCGCCCTGCTGAAACCAACATAACGTACAGGAAACAGTGATTAGCGCCCTGCTGAAACCAACATAACATACAGGAAAGGGTGATTAGCGCCCCGCTGAAACCAACATAACATACAGGAAAGGGTGATTAGCGCCCCGCTGAAACCAACATAACATACAGGAAAGGGTGATTAGCGCCCCACTGAAAGCAGCATAACATACAGGAAAGGGTGACTAGCGCCCCGCTGAAACCAACATAACATACAGGAAAGGGTGATTAGCGCCCCACTGAAACCAACATAACGTACAGGAAACAGTGATTAGCGCCCCGCTGAAACCAACATAACATACAGGAAAGGGTGACTAGCGCCCCGCTGAAACCAACATAACATACAGGAAAGGGTGATTAGCGCCCCGCTGAAACCAACATAACATACCAGAAAGGGTGACTAGCGCCCCATTAAAACCAACATAACATACCAGAAAGGGTGATTAGCACCCCGCTTAAACCAGCTTGAATGGAGTACGGTATAATTACGTGGCAGATAAAAGTGCAATATATACCTGAAAGGCACATTGAATGCTTGGGACATTAACAGAATGAAAACATGATATGTAGATTAACCATTTAAGGACCGCATGATGGTGTATGCTATTATGCAGTGCAGGGCTTTAACCCCTATTGATGACAAACACCGTGATGGTAACAAGGTGTCTCAGGAGTTCACCGTGAAATCTGCACATGACCCTTTAAATTCATTTAAATACAACGCAATTTTGAGTGTGTCCCAACCCTGGTGATATCTCCTTGCTTGTCCCTCTGCCCAGTGATTGGTGATGGGCATTGATAACTGGTAAAAAAAGAGGAAAGACTTCAGCGCTTATAGAAACTAGTACAATTCACAGAGGCAGCCTAACACCCAAGTCTGGTGTTTCTCTTATCTAGTAGTCTCATAGAAATAACAAGGAGGTTGGTGTGACACCTCGATTTACCTTGGGAGATATATCTAACGATAAAAGCAGAAAAAACAGGAACTGATAATGTTGTATATCTTAATGTTCTTGGAGGAAGTAAAATAAATCAAATGTACACTTACACTTTTCTGGAGCTTCAGCTCAGCTCCAAATTGAGCGCTTGGGCAGAATGATCCTCGTCTAAGGATATGAAGTAGTAATGGTACAGCAGGCCAGTCTGATAATGGGAGATATTATTGTTGGACCTATAGGGCAAAACAGATAAAATAATATTGCGTAATATTTTGCGTACAATATCTTGAAAGTAGATAGGTATACAATTATACACTCACATGTTACAGAGCCTCCTATATTGGCTTCTGTGGTAAAGCATGAAGTGGTATGATCCCCACTCTAGGATATATGTGAAGTGAAATAGGAAAAGATAAAGCACAAAAACAGTGCACACCATAACTGTAAATACAATAAAAAAATCTACTTACATGAGAGAGCAAATAACGGTTTGCTCAATCCTGAGGGCGTAGGTGGTATTTATCACCACCAAGGATATATAGAGCAGGAGTCAAGCAGCAAGATATATAAGTGCAATAAAAAAATACTTGATTAACAAAAAAAGAACAACAATAAAATAATATTTGAAACACTTAATGTGTCACCAATTTCTGGCTTTATCAGAAGTGTAATTACAGAGAAGAATGGACCTGAGCTGCTTATATAGGTAGAAAATGTGAAAATAATGATCATTTGACGTCACAGTCACATGACCGGAAGTTAACATAAAATATAAAATGAAGTATGATATATAAAATAGTGAGGCATTGCAACATACAAGGGGTTTTAAATGTTAACAAACAAGGGTTTTGAAGGTATAGGCAGGCTGGGAATGTAAATATGGAGCTCTGACAGTAATCAAACCACATGATCAGTGTGGCCGCAGCGCCAAATGCAGATCTATTAACAAATAGCACAGTATGATTGTGGGGCACAACATGCCTGGCTCATAGAACCCTCTGTACTGTTTGAGCTGGGAAAATATTTAAACATTTTGACCTAGGTTCGTAGTAAAATGATTAAATGTAAAGTGTCAAAATGCTCTTAGTTACATAGTCTGGTGATGTACTTTCCAGAAATATATGGGTTTCTTTTGCAGGAGTTTTGGATTCTGAGACTAAAGAAAATTATATTTTGAGATATTTCTAAAAAGACTGGAGAAAATATAACGGAGAAAAGGAAGACTTTCCCGAAGTTCAAACAGTCAAAGAGAAATCCAGTCAAAAAAAAAAAATGAGTGAAAACAAAGGTCAGATAAAGTTTGCAAAGTGGGGGGTGCTTACTGATTAAAGGACCACTCTAGGCACCCAGACCACTTCAGCTTAATGACGTGGTCTGGGTGCCAGGTCCCTCTAGGATTAACCCTTTTTTAAAAAAAATAAACATATAAATTTATGTTAGTGTTAATCCAGCCTCCAAATCCTCTAGTGGCTGTCTCATTGACAGCCGCTAGAGACGCTTGCGTGATTCTCACTGTGAAAATCACAGTGAGAACACGCAAGCGTCCATAGGAAAGCATTGTAAATGCTTTCCTATGAGACCGGCTGAATGCACTCGCAGCTCCTGCCGCGCATGCGCACTCAGCCGAAGAGGAGGATCAGAGGCGGAGAGGAGGAGAGCTCCCCGCCCGGCGCTGGAAAAAAGGTAAGTTTTAACCCTTTCCTCTCCCCAGAGCTGGACGGGAGGGGGACCCTGAGGGTGGGGGCTCCCTCAGGGCACTATAGTGCCAGGAAAACGAGTATGTTTTTGTGGCGAAACCAACCTCGCCACTGTACACTGGAGAAGCCTGATTGCTCGCCTGCTGCCTTTGGACTATGGCCCCATGTTAAAAGACATCTTTTTCCCTGCAGAAAAGACTTATTCGTGCTTTTCTGCCGGGTGTTCGGTAGATTTGTTTGAGTGTGTTGTACTCCAGATAGGAATCCCATGGAGCCCATTCGCATGAAACTGACTGTGTAAAGACTTTGGCTCCATGGCGATTAAACTGTATTCGTGTGGTCTGAGTGCCATTCGCTTAATAATGTGCGCTCAGACCTGAGCTATCTGGGGATATGTAGAACGTATATGTTTTATGTACTGAATGTAACTGTAGGTAATTTTATATCTTTTATTGTTTGTTTTCTGCCATGTGGTTAACGGAGTTTTGCCTCTGTCTTTGGAGATAATTGAATTACTTCTCAATTATCTCCAGAGCAGAGAGGAGGGATTGTGATGTAATTGTGGGAGTGTTTAAAGGTGTATGTCTGTGATTGGCTGAGAGCCAATATGTTTCCCAGTTTCCCATTTAGTCCCCTAGGGGAGTGTCCACCAGGTGGGAGACCTGCATAAAAGCCGGGCAGTTAGCCCCAGTAAACCAGTTCCTGCTTAACCCTCAAAGTGAAGTGTTGTCTCATTATTGGGGGAGGATTTACTGTATGCTATTAGAGACTGATTGCCAGGAGTGTAAGCCGCTTGGGGGCTTTTCCTGTTCGTCTGCCAGCAGCTATTCGTGTGTCTCCAGTTCGGGAGTTTCCAGTATTCCCTTGGTATGCAGTTCGGGAGTTGGTGAATTCGTGGGTTAGCAGTTCAGGAGATTGGTGCTTGCAGTAGCTGTCTGTGCAGCTGAAAAAGGGGAATATCGCCTAAACGGTTTTTAACCTCTTTTGGGCAAAACGGTCCGTTACAGTTTTCCTGGCACTATAGTGGTCCTTTAACCCCTTAAGACCGGAGGGCGTACAATTACGCCTTATTTTAGGCGGCTCTAAATGCCGCCGGGCGTAATTGTACGCCCTCCGGTCTTTTATTACTTACCCGGTCGCCGGCGGTCCCACGCCGGCGATCGCGGTGGGGGGGGACTCCCAGGGAGCCCCCCCGCAGCACATCCTCCTCCTCCGTTGCCCCCCGGCCATGTGAGAGTGAGGTCCTTGCGAGGACCTCACAATCACATGGCCGGGTAGGCTGCCTCCTGCATTGCCAGCAGGGGGGCTGCCTGTAATGACAGGTGGTCCCCCTGCTGGCTGAAAATAAAATCAAATAAATGTTAAAGGTGTAAAAAAAAAAAAAAAAATTATACTTAGATCATATATATATGAAATTTTTTGCATTTTTCACACACAAATGGCACTTACACGGACGATCTAATTTACTGTTTTGAAACACTAATATTTGTGTTCAGCGAAGTCTCCTGAGTACAACAGTACCCCTCATGTACAGGTTTTATGGTGTTTTCAAAAGTTACAGCGTCAAATATAAGGCTTGCAAGGTATTGCAAACGGGGTATGTCCAGTCTTTTTTAGTAGCCACTTAGTCACAAACACTGGCCAAAATTGGCGTTTTTTTGCATTTTTCACACAAACAAATACTAACGCTAACTTTGGCCAGTGTTTGTGACCAAATGGCTTCTAAAAAAGACTGGACATACCCCATTTGCAATACCTTGGGTTGTCTACTATTGCAAATGGTATGCCATTATGGGTGTAAATTTCATTCTTGGGCTACTATAAAAAGTCCCAAAGGCAACGTAACCAATCTGGCGAATTTCAATTTCAAATGTAACATGCTATATTTGACCGTGTAACTTCCCAAAACGCCATAAAACCTGTACATAGGGGGTACTGTTTTACACGTGAGACTTTGCTGAATACAAATATGTGTATTTTATTGCAGTAAAAGCAAACAGTATTATGACATTGACAATTAAAATGTCATGTAGAACAAAAAAAAATAAAAAAAACTTGTATTTTCTCCCATTTTTTTCATATTAAATTATGTTTCATAGCTAAATATTTGATATTAAATGAAAGCCATGTTTCCCCTGAATAAAATGATATATAATAAGGGTGGGTGCATATAATATATAAGAGGTGAATTACGGTTGGACAGACATGTAGCGCAAATGCCAGGTTTTGTTTACATTTTGTTTCGTTCACAACGTGTACATTTGGCTCCATCCTTAAGGGGTTAATGAGTATATGTAAGCTGCGGCATAGTTATGGAGAGAATTGTTTGTGAAGACTTAAAAAAAATAACCTAAGTTTTGCTGATAAATGTTACATTTTTATTCAAGCAACAGCACCATGATCCAATGTATCGTTCAATCTAAAGTATAAATCCACAGAGAACAGCTTGAGGGCAGATGGACTTAAAGGACCACTATAGGCAAACTGACCACTTCAGCTCAATGTAGTGGTCTATGTTTACACTGCAGGGTTAATCCAGCCTCTAGCGGCTGTCTCACTGACAGCCAACAGCCACTAGAGGCGCTTCTGCGGTTCTCAGTGTGAGATTTGGTATCAGATGTTACTGTAGGTGAAAGTTTAGGATCCAGTGATCATCAGTCAGTGTGGTTTAATATAAGAACAGTGACTGAGTCACACCACACAAAAACAAAAGTTTTAGACTTTAGAAAAACAGACTTTTCTAAAATTAGAATATGGGTAGAGGAGTCATTATCAGACTGGAGCAATTTAAATGGAGTCCAAGAAAAATGGGATTATTTAAAAGTTGCACTATTGAAGGCAACAGAAAATTGCATTAGGCTTGTCAGTAAAAGCAAAAAATTCAAGAAACCACTGTGGTACTCCGCAGATGTGGCCAAAATAGTTAAAAACAAAAAGTTAGCATTTAGGAATTATAAAAAAAAACCAGAGTGAGGGAGACAAAATGATCTATAAGATTAGGCAGAAAGAGGCTAAGCAAGTTATAAGAGCTTCCAAATCACACACAGAAGAGAAAATAGCACAGTCAGTAAAAAAAGGGGATAAAACATTTTTTAGATACATAAATGAGAAAAGAAAAGTAAAACAAGGATTAGTTAGATTAAAAACAAAAGAAGGAAGGTATGTAGAAGAGGATAAAGGTCTAGCTGACTGCCTCAATGAATATTTTTGTTCTGTATTTACAGATGAAAATGAAGGAAAGGGACCCCAGTTGAGAAAAAGGATAAATGAGTCATTTATTACACGTGAGTTTACAGAGGAAGAGGTTCTATTTCAACTGTCAAAAGTAAAGACAAATAAGTCAATGGGACCTGATGGAATACACCCAAAGCTATTAAAAGAGCTTAGTGGTGTACTAGCAAAACCATTAACAGATTTATTTAACCAATCATTGTTAACAGGAGTAGTCCCAGAAGATTGGAAGTTAGCGAATGTTGTGCCCATTTACAAGAAAGGTAATAGGGAGGAGTCGGGCAACTATAGGCCAGTAAGCCTTACTTCAGTAGTGGGGAAAGTGATGGAAACCATGTTAAAGGATAGGATTGATGAACATCTAAAAACACATGGATTTCAAGATCAGAGACAACATGGGTTTACTTCAGGGAGATCATGCCAAACTAATCTTATTGATTTTTTTGATTGGGTAACTAAAATTATAGATCAGGGTGGTGCAGTAGACATTGCTTACCTAGATTTCAGTAAGGCTTTTGACACTGTTGCACATAGAAGGCTTATCAATAAACTGCAATCTTTAAGTTTGGATTCCAATATTGTTGAATGGGTAAGGCAGTGGCTGAGTGACAGGCAACAGAGGGTTGTAGTTAATGGAATATATTCGAAGCTTGGACTTGTCACCAGTGGGGTACCTCAGGGATCTGTACTTGGACCCATTCTCTTTAATATTTTTATTAGTGATATTGCAGAAGGTCTTGATGGTAAGGTATGTCTTTTTGCTGATGATACTAAGATATGTAACAGGGTTGATGTTCCAGGAGGGATAAGCCAAATGACAAATGATTTAGGTAAACTAGAAAAATGGTCAGAATTGTGGCAACTGACATTTAATGTGGATAAGTGCAAGATAATGCATCTTGGACGTAAAAACCCAAGGGCAGAGTACAGAATATTTGATAGAGTCCTAACCTCAACATATGAGGAAAGGGATTTAGGGGTGATTATTTCTGATGACTTAAAGGTAGGCAGACAATGTAATAGAGCAGCAGGAAATGCTAGCAGAATGCTTGGTTGTATAGGGAGAGGTATTAGCAGTAGAAAGAGGGAAGTGCTCATGCCATTATACAGAACACTAGTGAGACCTCACTTGGAGTATTGTACACAGTACTGGAGACCGTATCTTCAGAAGGATATTGATACCTTAGAGAGGGTTCAGAGAAGGGCTACTAAACTGGTTCATGGATTGCGGGATAAAACTTACCAGGAAAGGTTAAAGGATCTTAACATGTATAGCTTGGAGGAAAGACGAGACAGGGGGGATATGATAGAAACATTTAAATATATAAAGGGAATCAACACAGTAAAGGAGGAGACTATATTTAAAAGAAGAAAAACTACCACAACAAGAGGACATAGTCTTAAATTAGAGGGACAAAGGTTTAAAAATAATATCAGGAAGTATTACTTTACTGAGAGGGTAGTGGATGCATGGAATAGCCTTCCAGCTGAAGTGGTAGAGGTTAACACAGTAAAGGAGTTTAAGCATGCGTGGGATAGGCATAAGGCTATCCTAACTATAAGAGAAGGCTAGGGACTAATGAAAGTTTTTAGAAAATTGGGCAGACTAGATGGGCCGAATGGTTCTTATCTGCCGTCACATTCTATGTTTCTATGTTTCTATGTTTAAAATCGCATTGAACTCACATAGCGTGAGTTCAGATCCCCATAGGAAAGCATTGAGTAATGCTTTTCTATGGATGGAATGAATGCGCGCGCGGCTCCATTCAGGACCTGATGTCAGCTGGGGGAAGAGAGGTCACCAGCGCTGAGGGAGCCCGGCGCTAGATTAAGGTAAGTGGCTGAAGGGGTTTTAACCCATTCAGCCCAGAGGGAGGGGGGAACCTAATAACCCTATAGTGCCAGGAAAATGAGTTTGTTTTCCTGGCACTATAGTGCTCTTTTAAGCTTGAGGGTTTGCAGATGTGGATCAAAACATGTCAACCGGTATAAGGAGTCACGACTGGGAGCGAGTCAGGTATAGTTAGGTTAGTAATTAAAGGGTTACTCCAACCACTATGACCACTTCTGCATTTTTTTTGTCAAGTTCTAGCCATTGAAACAAAAAAAACAAAGCATGGCTAAATTAAATATGAAACTTTGCTAAATGACTGCACACCACTATGGTCAGGTCGCTTTGAAAGGAGTATAAAAGGAAGGAATGTGGTAACACAGAGGTGGCAAAGAGGCGAGGTGCTGACACTTGTATCTTCTAGCCCTTGAAGAAAAGGGTTTTCCAAAAATGGAAGGCCCATATTTTAACTTTGTCAATCTTGGTTAAACAAACACAGACTTGTGAAATATCTACCCACCAAGAGAAAAATTCTCAGAGGGTACAGAGGGGGTGTGAAATGACTATTAAATATATAGTTCTGGGATATATTGTATAACTTTTTAAATAGAAAAGGAACATTGGAGCTTATTCCATTGAATATGGATGTCTCCAAGCATGCTACACATTTCCATATAACCGAACTAACTCATATATCAATCAATACATCGTATAACGTGACAGAATGACAGTTCTTATCACTGTAAATTGATATGGAAAAGGCTCCACACAGAGCACATACTGGCCACAACATACCACAACTTGTCTAAAAAAAAATAAAAAAATTAAAGAAACCACTGTGGTACTCCGCAGATGTGGCCAAAATAGTTAAAAACAAAAAGTTAGCATTTAGTAATTATAAAAAAAAAAAAGTGAGGAAGACAAAATGATCTATAAGATTAGGCAGAAAGAGGCTAAGCAAGTTATAAGAGCTTTCAAATCACACACAGAAGAGAAAATAGCACAGTCAGTAAAAAAAAGGGGGACAAAACTTTTTTTAGATACATAAATGAGAAAAGAAAAGTAAAACAAGGCTTAGTTAGATTAAAAACAAAAGAAGGAAGGTATGTAGAAGAGGATAAAGGTCTAGCGGACTGCCTTAATTAATATTTTTGTTCTGTATTTACAGATGAAAATGAAGGAAAGGGACCTCCGTTTAGAAAAAGGATAAATGAGTCATTTATTACACGTGAGTTTACAGAGGAAGAGGTTCTATTTCAACTGTCAAAAGTAAAGACAAATGAGGGGGCGGAGCTAAGCTGTTGAACGGAACGGTCGCACGCCTAATGTGCTCCGATACCAGAGGCCCGTATTTCGGGTTTTCATCGACCCCAAGTACCGACAAACGGACCCCACCTGGACCCCCAGGCAGCCCACACCGGCATGGGCCGAAAAATAAAGAAACAGAGGCCGGACAAGCCGAAACCGGGGGCGAGCATCGGAGACTTATGGCGGCAGGCACATGGCGCCTCAATGCCCAAAATGGCGGCCTACATGGGGGAGAGCTCCGACTTCTCGGACGACCATAGTTTGGAGCCCCGGGATCTACAACCTCCAGCTCCGAGAGAACTAAACCGGAACACGGTACCTGCAACCTCACATGCGGAGTCATCACCAGTCACCAAAGCCGACATGCAGGATCTACTGGCGGGCCTGCGGAGAGACATCCAGATGGATTTGGTGACTTTCCGCAAAGACCTACAAGGTTTGACTGGCCGCATGGGTACCCTGGAAACCGACACCCACAATACGAAGGCACAACTTACCCAACTACAGCAAGAGGTGCAAACACTGCAAAAACAACACGCTGCTACGGAACAGCGGTTTGCAGCACTGGAGGACTCCAGGCGAAGCAAAAACCTTAAGTTAAGGGGAGTAGCAGAAACAGTCCCCGACGCGGAACTACCGCATCTGATAAGACGTCTACTAACGGCGATACTGCCCTCTAAACAGGCGAAATCGGTGACACCTGAAGAAATATTCCGGATCCCGAGGCCACAAAAAGCACCAGCCACAGCTCCGCGCGACCTGATTATTCGATTCCAATCAGGGCAAGACAAAGCAGCAGTCATGGGGGCACTAAAAGGAAAGACCCCCTACAACTTTGAGAACTTATCACTCACGTTTTACACTGACTTATCAGGAAGCACCCTGGCGTGGCGCAAAACACTACAGCCTTTCACGCTGCTCCTCCGCGACCGGAGCATTGCATACAGATGGAGAGGATCCCGCACTCTAGCCGTCCTCCAAGGTAATACCTCTTACCCTGTCCACGACTTCGAAGGGGCGGTGGCCATCTTAGAGACCCTGGGCCTCCCACAAGACTCCCTAAACAACAGAGGAGCAGGGACAGGGGCCGCAACGCATGTCTGGGACCCAGCCGGCGCCGCTCCATTTGTACCGCGCAATTCCGCAGAAGACACCTACAGAACGGCCACAACCTGAACTCTAACCAGTCATCTCTACGGAGAATCACCACAAATCTTCCAGCTTAATAGATCTCATCTGAGACTCCCCATTTAAACCCTTCTTCTTTTTTTTTTTTTTTTAACTCGTTTAATATATGGCACAGACGCCGGGAAAAAAGAGACACTAGCGGACTTATACACCCCAGAATCGACAACTTACCAGAAGTGGAACCGGGCTAAAACCGCCACAGGCAGGTCCCGAGGGGACAGGCCCTACCATGGGGGCACGAGATGAACTATCTTGCATCTACGCCAGAAGCACCTACCTAAATTGCTTTAGCGGTTTTATTGTTATTTTATTGTTATTTTATTGTTTTATTCTTTTATTCCTTTCATTAGCACATTGCTTACCTTAAAATTACTGTGAACTTAAAAGCATAATGTTTCACCCTGTCATGCCTTGCCGTGCCCGGCGGCCAGGCAAACAATGGTCATGGCACTCACGCAAGGCAACAGTTTTCTCATACGTAAACTACACCATGCGAATCGTACCTGGTGGCTAGTAGGATCTCACACTACCTACACCTGCTTCACATGTTAGATCGCGGCCCCCACTAGCTTGAGAATTAGTTCATCACGCCACTAGGTGTTTTAGGACGTACAGGGCGCACCTCATACACACGACACAACTATAACCTTAAGCTTGACTAGCTATTCTAAAGGCATACCTACCACAGCTGTTAGGTTACATAAACATTACCTTCCAGCCTGTCAACCTCATACACATAGATAAGCGGGTTACTTACATAAATACTAAATTCGTAGACCAATATGTGACCTAGCCACTTGAATGCTGTTACCTGTTACTGACAAACATATTGAATCATACAAAGCTTAATATTGTCTTAAACGATCCTTCAATGATAAAAACGTGCTAAGTTTAAATAAGCCACGAAAATGTTTTTGAATGTTATACAAGAAGGCGTCTGTTACGGCTATTGTGGCTACGCAGACACTGTTGTAATTTCTTGCACGATAAAAATAAAGTTTAAAAAAAAAAAAAAAGTAAAGACAAATAAGTCAATGGGACCTGATGGGATACACCCAAAGTTATTAAAAGAGCTTAGTGGTGTACTAGCAAAACCATTAACAGATTTATTTAACCAATCATTGTTAACAGGAGTAGTCCCAGAAGATTGGAAGTTAGCGAATGTTGTGCCCATTCACAAGAAAGGTAATAGGGAGGAGTCGGCAACTATAGGCCAGTAAGCCTTACTTCAGTAGTGGGGAAAGTGATGGAAACCATGTTAAAGGATAGGATTGTTGAACATCTAAAAACACATGGATTTCAAAATCAGAGACAACATGGGTTTACTTCAGGAAGATCATGCCAAACTAATCTTATTGATTTTTTTGATTGGGTAACTAAAATTATAGATCAGGGTGGTGCAGTAGACATTGTTTACCTAGATTTCAGTAAGGCTTTTGACACTGTTGCACATAGAAGGCTTATCAATAAACTGCAATCTTTAAGTTTGGATTCCAATATTGTTGAATGGGTAAGGCAGTGGCTGAGTGACAGGCAACAGATGGTTGTAGTTAATGGAATATATTCGAAGCTTGGACTTGTCACCAGTGGGGTACCTCAGGGATCTGTACTTGGACCCATTCTCTTTAATATTTTTATTAGTGATATTGCAGAAGGTCTTGATGGTAAGGTACGTATTTTTGCTGATGATACTAAGATATGTAACAGGGTTGATGTTCCAGGAGGGATAAGCCAAATGGCAAATGATTTAGGTAAACTAGAAAAATGGTCAGAATTATGGCAACTGACATTTAATATGGATAAGTGCAAGATAATGCATCTTGAATGTAAAAACCCAAGGGCAGAGTACAGAATATTTGATAGAGTCCTAACCTCAACATCTGAGGAAAGGGATTTAGGGGTGATTATTTCTGATGACTTAAAGGTAGGCAGACAATGTAATAAAGCAGCAGGAAATGCTAGCAGAATGCTTGGTTGTATAGGGAGAGGTATTAGCAGTAGAAAGAGGGAAGTGCTCATGCCATTGTACAGGACACTGGTGAGACCTCACTTGGAGTATTGTACACAGGGGCGTTTTAGCCGCGAGGCAAACAAGGCATTTGCCTTGGGCGGCATATTTCAGGGGGCGGCAAAAAACGCCGCCCCCAAATGCCCAGGGCAAATGCCTTGTTAGCCTTGCGGCTAACAGACATGCCGAGCGGGTGGGCGGCGCTGGGCGGGCGGGCGGCTGGCGAGGGAGCTCTTCCCTGAGCACTCTGCTCAGCTCCCTCGCTAGCAGTGAGGCTGGGAGCCGGAATATGACGCCATCAACCCCGCTCCCAGCCTCACTCTGCGGCACGCAAGGGAGCTGAGCGGACAGCTCAGAGGAAGAGCTCCCTGGCCAGCCGCCTGCCCGCCCGTCCCCACTGGACCCCAGGGAGAAACCAGCATTCCCAAAGGTAAGGAGGGGGGGGCGGGGGGCTAAATTAATTTAAAAAAAATATATATATATATATATGTGTGTTAATGTGAGTGAGTGTGTGTGTGTGTCTGACTGTGTGTCTGCTAGTGAGTTAGTGTGTGTCTGTTAGTGTGTGTCTGACTGTGTGTTTCTGTTAGTGTGTATGTGTGTCTGACTGTGTGTCTGTTAGTGTGTGTGTGTGTGTCTGTTAGTGTGTGTGTCTGTTAGTGTGTGTGTGTCTGACAGTTTGAGTCTGTTAGTGTGTGTGTGTCTGACTGTGTGTATGTGTGTGTCTGACTGTGTGTGTGTGTCTGTTAGTGTGTCTGTGTGTGTCAGTGTGTGTGTGTCTGTTAGAGTGAGTGTGTGTCTGTTAGAGTGAGTGTGTGTCTGTTAGTGAGTGTGTGTCTGTTAGCGTGTGTATACGTATCTGTCAGTGAATGTGTGTGTGTGTATTTAGAAGGTGGGGGGGGAAGGGTTGGGTGGGGCTGGTGCGGGGGGGGGTGGGGGAGGACGTCTGAGTTTTGTCCTGCCTAGGGCAGCACAAAACCAGGATACACCACTGATTGTACACAGTACTGGAGTCCGTATCTTCAGAAGGATATTGATACCTTAGAGAGGGTTCAGAGAAGGGCTACTAAACGCGTTCATGGATTGCGGGATAAAACTTACCAGGAAAAGTTAAAGGATCTTAACATGTATAGCTTGGAGGAAAGACGAGACAGGGGGGATATGATAGAAACATTTAAATACATAAAAGGGAATCAACACAGTAAAGGAGGATACTATATTTAAAAGAAGAAAAACTACCACAACAAGAGGACATAGTCTTAAATTAGAGGGACAAAGGTTTAAAAATAATATCAGGAAGTATTGCTTTACTGAGAGGGTAGTGGATGTATGGAAGAGCCTTCCAGCTGAAGTGGTAGAGGTTAACACAGTAAAGGAGTTTAAGCAAGCGTGGGATAGGCATAAGGCTATCCTAGAAAATGGGGGGATGGGTCTGCGCCAATGTGCACAATAAATAATAATATTAAGTCCAACAGGATCTATATTGTTGTTTCCAAAGTTCTACTTTTTGCGATATCCAGAAGATGTCAATGACGTGAAGGATAATCCAAATATGTAAAAATAGAAGAGTTCTTACTTACAGTTGACAGAGCTTAATCCAGCTCTGGTGTGAATGGCTTACAGCGGTATCCCGCTTGCAGGATATACGGCAAGTGTCCTCTTCTATGTAGTGGCAGGTAACCAAGTTGGAAATAAAAATGGAAACAATAATGGTGCAGTATGTTCCACACATGCAATAAAAGATATAAAATATAATAGATACACTCACATTCGGTAGAGCTTTGGCTAGCTCTAGTTTGTTAGGCGTACAGCGGTATAATCCCCGTTTGTAGGATATAGGATGAGTGATCTTGACGAGAATATCAGGAGCTCGTAGAGAAGATAAAACAGCGATAGTGCTCTCAATAAAATCTTAGGTGATGAAATAAAATATACTCACAATGTATAGGGCAGGCTAACTGCTCTATGTAACAGCGTAAGTGGTATAATCCCCACCTAGGATTCTTTAGAGTATAATATCCAGGAAATAAAAATAATAAAAGAAGTATATAGTATAAAATATATATATAAAAAGCCAGGTAATAGTAAAAGATGATGGTTTAAACGTAAAAAATGACCAAAATCTTATTATTAACAGTATATAAAAACAGTAAAAGTATCCAATAAGGCTATCCTAACTATAAGATAAGGCCAGGGATTAATGAAAGTATTTAGAAAATTGGGCGGACTAGATGGGCCGAATGGTTCTTATCTGCCGTCACATTTTATGTTTCTATGTCTAGAGACAACCTTCTGATTAATCCACAAAAATCTAAATGTACCATCGATCTTCCACGTGCTTTAGAATATTTGTGCCAGCTACTGCACACCTGCCATTTATCTCTGAAAGACGTTGATCAGTCACTGTGACGCTCTCCAGATATTACTTTACAAATCTCCTATTCTTGTATTCCCCTCTAGTAATACCCGTGGCATGCGAGCCACTTGTGATGAAATTTCAGTTCTTAAAAAGCGTGTAAGTAATATTGCTGAGTACTACGAATGACATGACTAAATTGCAGTTTTAATGTGTACTTATGTTGCTGATCTAACCCCATGATTCATGAAGCTTCTTCACACATTTCAATACTTACAGCGTTTAATGTAAACACTCGAGTCTGGATATCATTCTACAGACCGACGTTTGTGTCACATAACAATCCTTACACACACTTAGACACTCAACCAAACCACTCCGAACAAATTTTACAATAGTAAATTAGAATGCAAATATTATTTGTGGTAACATTTTGTATTATGATACCAGCTCTGTGGGGCAACATAGAGGGATTTAATTACTTAAATGAGCCAAAAAAAAAAAATCCCAACTCAGCTCCAGTTACAGTTGGCCATTTCAGTATAACTTTCACCATTCAAATTAGATTGAATTTGAAGATTAGTGAATAAAGCACATGGTATGTCAGATTAGTATGGAAGTAACAGGGCAGTAAACCTGTGTGTGTTTTCTGTACTCTGATGTTCTCACACATTATTGAATAAAAATAATTTATATTCAAGGCAGTGGCTGTTATTAAAGGGACACTGTAAGTACCCAGACCACTTCAGCTCATTGAAGTGGTCTGGGTGCAAACTCCCATTACCCTTAAACCTGAGCATTTAATTAATGCAGTTTTTATAAACTGCAATAATTACCTGCTAGGATTAACTCCTCTGGTAGACAGCCACTAGAGTGGATGTGATCTACTTGGATTTTGCCAAGGCATTTGATACGGTTCCTCACAATAGGTTAGTCTTCAAACTAAAAGAAATTGGTCTAGATGAATATTCTTGTTCTTGGGTAGAACATTGGCTTAAGGATAGAGTACAACGAGTTGTAATTAATGGTACATTTTCAGGCTGGACAAAAGTGGTAAGTGGTGTCCCTCAGGGTTCTGTTTTGGGACCACTTCTATTTAATATATTTATAAATGATCTTGAAATAGGCATTGAAAGCCATGTATCAGTGTTTGCAGATGACACAAAACTTTGTAAAGTAATAAAATGTGAGCAGGATATTGCTTTGCTGCAGAGGGATTTGGATAGATTGGGGGACTGGGCACTAAAATGGCAGATTTAAAGTAGAGAAATACAAAGTTATGCACTTCGGGGTTAAGAATGCACAAGCAACTTACACACTAAATGGTAGTGAATTAGGGATAACCACACATGAGAAGGATTTGGGAATTGTTATAGATAACAAATTAGGCAGCAATATGCAATGTCAATCTGCAGTTGGTAAGGCCAGTAAGGTTTTGTCATGTATAAATAGGGGCATAAATTCTCGGAATGAAAATATAATTTTGTGTCTTTATAAATCGCTGGTAAGACCACACCTTGAATATGCTGTGCAATTTTGGGCGCCTGTTCTAAAAAGATATCATGGCACTAGAAAAAGTCCAGAGACGAGCTACAAAATTGATAAAAGGAATGGAGCATTTTAGTTAGGAAGTAAGGTTAAAAAAAATTAAATCTGTTTAGTTTGGAAAAACGGCGCCTGAGAGGGGATATGATAACTTTATACAAATATATTCGGGGCCAGTACAAACCTTTATCTGGAAATCTATTCATAAACAGGGCTATACATAGGACACGAGGTCACACATTTAGGCTGGAAGAAAGGAGATAAGCAATAAGGATATGGAATTCTCTGCCTGAAGAGGTGGTTTTGTCAGAGTCACTACAGAGGTTTAAACTGCAACTGGATAAATACTTACGAAAACATAACATACAGGGATATAATTTCTAATTAGTGGGGTCATAGCTGCTTGATCCAAGGAGACATCTGACTGCTATTTTGGGGTCAAGAAGGAATTTTTTCCTAGTTTGTGGCAAAATTGGAAGTGCTTCAGACTAGGTTTTTTGCCTTCTTTTGGATCAACAGCAACAACATATGTGAGGAAGGCTTAACTTGATGGACACAAGTCTCTTTTCAGCTATGTAACTATGTGACTTTTGGATGCTTAGACTACTTTGGTCGCCTAAACGATGCTGGACGTCCTCACGCTATGCGTGAGGACTTCCATTCGCGTCACCGGAATCCCCATAAGAAAGCACTGAATAATGCTTTCCTATAGGGAGATCCTAATGCGAGCGCGGCCATTGGGTGGGGGAGGAGCGTGGGCGGAGCTGAGCCAGCACTGAGGGACATCGACGCTTGACAGAGGGGCAAGCTATAGTGCCAGGAAAATTGTTTTCCTGGCACTATAGTTTCCCTTCAAATATTAATGTTGTTACATAGTTACATAGGCTGAAAAGAGACTTGGGTCCATCAAGTTCGGCCTTCCTCACATTCGTTTTTTCCTGTTGATCCAAAAGAAGGCAAAAAAACAGTTTGAAGCGCTTCCAATTTTGCAACAAACTAGGAAAAAAATTCCCTCTTGACCCCAGAATGGCAGTCAGATTTATCCTTGGATCAAGAAGCTATTACCGTACATTGAAAAATTATATCCTTGAATATTGTTTTTGCAAGTATGCATCTAGTAGCTGTTAAAACATCTGTATGGACTCTCATAAAACTACTTCTTCAGGCAGAGAATTCCACATCCTTATTGTTCTTACAGTAAAAAAAAAAAAAAAACCTTTTCTTTCTTCCAGTCTAAACGCATGACCTCGTGTCCTATGTAAAGTCCGGTTTGTGAATAGATTTCCACACAATGGTTTGTATTGGCCCTGGATATATTGGTATAATATTATCATATCCCCTCTGAGGCAACGTTTTTCTAAACTAAAGAGGTTTAGATTTGTTAAACTAAACTATACATTTTTGGGATATGACAAGGCAATTTACAGTTTTATAGCTGAGCTGCAATCAGAGTCCGAGACTTTCCAAATGAAGTTATAACCTTAAATTTGAAATGTAATGCTAGATTTCTGACAATTGAGGGTTCAGTGAATAGCTGCTGTGTATACAAGCCTTGTAGAATTGAAAAGTATACGTGTCTTGAGACATACATGTAAGCTCTGATACTATATGACACACAGCAGAACCCATTGTAACAGTAACATACTTTATGGAGATGCCCGCTTCCAGTCTGAACAGAGACGTTTTGATAAGAGAGCCTTTCAGCAGGAAGCATTCCCCGGGAGGGTGGGGTGCCTTTAATTTACCCAGTTAATGACAGGGTAAGCAGAGATCTACCTCCTCTGTACACTAAGGGGTTGTCAAGGTGAGGCTGTTATGACAAGGCCCACATTTCCTCACTAAATGGCAGTGTCACTAGCATTGTCATGGTATATTGTTACACATTGAACATTCAAATAACACAGATCATTTCTCATTCTTAGATACTTGTATGTGATTGGTCAGGAATTCTTTCAATGCTAACCTGTCAAAGCACAGATGGGGCATGCCAGTAACAGAATTAGAACATTTAAAGGAGTACCTTTGCTTTTTATGGAAATTACACTTCTGAATAAAGAATTGAAAATCATTATAATAACGTGTGTTTACCCTTTTTTCACATGATGCTTAGATTTAGTGTAAATGTAAATTAATGGAGCCATCATAATGAATCCATGCCAGTTCAGTAGTTCTGATGTCATTAGAATGCACCATTTAACAGTTCTTGAGTGATCCATTTTTAGGGGTTTTACAGTGGTGTCAATTTCTACATTGACCTTTATTTTTCAGAAACAAAAAAAAACATTTATTAAATACACGGGAAAAGAAAGCATAGTATTAAAAAGTTTGGCAAATGGCGGTTCCCTAATAAGAAGATTAAAGTTATGCATGGTTATGCAGTTACTCCAACCCTTTTTTGTTAGTATAATGTACTATTGAGCATTACTCTTTAGGTCCCCCTAGAAAGGGCTAAACAAAGTTTTAAACTAAACTTTTCTTACCTTTCTTGCAAAGCTCCCAGAGCCGCTCGGCACGCCCCTTTTGTGATGTCACAGCAGACGTGTGGAGTTCCAATCAAAGGCTTCTCATAGAAGTCTGGGAGCACATGCGCACACTCTGAGCCTGCAAAGTGATGGGGAGAGCGAGTGGTCAGGGAAAGGAGGGAGGAAGGAGAGGCATGAGCTTTCCAGCAGTGAATGTCTGTAACCAGTGTGCAGTGCATGCTAACGGCAGGCGTAAGTCACATGTGCCAAGGGAGTAACAAGCCCCCGGCACACAAATTCAAATATCTCTGGACGTGCAGTGTTTTAAGCTGAAAGACTGCACATCCAGATTTCTATCACCATGATCACTTCAGAAAGTAGAAATAGTCACGGTGGTTGGAGTAACCCTTTAAGGTCTAAATACTCAGTCTCACCTATACTTTCAGTTCAGTTAATCAGGCCTGACATTTTGCATTCTCTCTTAAAGGACTACTATAGGCACCCAGACAACTTCAGCTTAATGAAGTAGTCTGGGTGCCAGGTCCCTCTAGGATTAACCCTTTCTGCTGTAAACATAGCAGTAACAGAGAAACTGCTATGTTTACATTAGGGTTAATCCAGCCTCTAGTGGCTGTCTCACTGACAGCCGCTAGAGGCGCTTCCGCGCTTCTCACTATGATTTTCACAGTGAGAAGACGCCAGCGTCCATAGGAAAACATTGAGAATGCTTTCATATGAGACTGGCTGAATGCGCGCGCGGCTCATGCCGCGCATGCGCATTCAGCCAATGACAGGCTTTCAGCCCGGCGGGAGTAGGACCCTGAGGGTGGGGGTACCCTCAGGGCACTATAGTGCCAGGAAAACGAGTATGTTTTCCTGGCACTATAGTGGTCCTTTAAGTGAATAACCCTCCCTGTCACTAAACGGATTTACGTGCATAAAGTGCTGCAGACCTGCACAACATGCGGCACGCCAGATAATATCAGGTGGCCTGCAAGGAACTACCACTGGTGCAACCGCTGTGCAGCATTGGGGCCCGCACACTTAGGAGGCCCATCGGGTGACCTATGCACTTAGGGCCAACCAGTGGGCATGTGTCAGCAGCGTGAACGGGCCCCTTGCTTATCAGCAGCCAGCTGGGAGGACGTGAGTGTTGCGAGTCACTTCCTCCAAGAGACCGGAGCCGCGTAAGATGGGTAGGAGGTGTCACGGTTCCGCGGGCGGCTGTGAGGGGAGGCTGCATGCCGCTCGCAGCACTCACCCTCAGTCCATCGTCGCCCGCGGTCCCCCCTCCTCTTACCTGTGGGCGAGCGGCGTGCAGCTTTCCCTTGCGTCCTCGCCTCCCAGCAGCAGCATGTGTAACGCTGCACGCTGGGAGTCCCGGCTTTTATGTAAACGCCAGGGTCACTCACGTGACCCGGCGTTAAAGCCACAGTACCCTAATCACAGTGGGAGGTATAGATATCTCCCACGTGTGATTATTAATTCTGATTGGAAATTATCCAATCAGAATTAAGCACTGCTGTTAAATACTTAGCTTTCCTGTCTCTCAGTGCCCTGTTGTGGTCTTATGTTACCTGTAGTGCAGTTTGCTTGTGTTGCTCTCTGGTTACCGATTATTTGGCTCGTTATTCCGATTTTCCTGTATTCTCCACTCCTTTGACCTCGGCTTGTTTCTCGTTCTCCCGTTTTCTGGCTCCCTTTACTTGGCTTGTCTCTTGACTATTGTTAGTGTGCTAAGCCCGGCCACTCTAAGGACCGGTATAGCATCCTTCCTCTCTGTGACCTGTTAGCGTGTTAGGTTCTGGAATCGTGACAGGAGGCTAGGCCAGGAGAGACTGGAGCTGCACAGATGTAGCAGAGAAAAGAAGGCAGGAAAGGATGGGGTGCATGCTGCAAGCCCCTAACTCCCAACATCCTTAACCTGCAAACTGGACACATGGTAAGGCACACTCCAGCACCCAAAAGGCAGCAAACTGAAAGGTGGCCATAAAAGCTTATATTTTGACCAGCATGTGTGTGTGTGTGTGTATCTGTATGTCTGTCAGTGTGTGTGTATCTGCGTGACTGTCAGTGTGTGTATCTATAAGTCTGTCAGTGTGCGTATCTGTATGTCAGCCTTTGTATGTATCTGTGTGTCTGTCAGTGTGTGTTGTGTATTTGTATGTCTGCCTGTGTGTGTGTATCTGTATTTCTCTCAATGTGCGTATCTGTATGTCTGCCTGTGTTTCTATCTGTCAGTGTGTGTATATGTATGTCTGTCAGTGTGCGTATCTATATGTCTCCCTGTGTGTGTTGTGGATCTGTATGTCTGCCTGTGTATGTATCTGTCAGTGTGTGTATATGTATGTCTGTCAGTGTGTGTATCTGTTTCCCTGTGTGTGTATATATATATATATATATATGTCTCCCTGTTTGTGTGTGTGTATGTATCTGTCAGTGTGTGTATATGTATGTCTGTCAGGGTGCCTATCTATAGGTCTCCCTGTGTGTGTGTGTATCTCTGTGTCTGTCAATGTGTGTATATGTATGTCTGTCAGTGTGCATATCTAGTCGGAAGACGTTTGGTATATTTAATTTTGGCCGCTACCTACTGTTGTGCAGGTCTGCTTTAGGTCCTGGCTTTTATTTCAAACCAGGTTGAACTTGTTTTTGTATTTTTTTTTTTAATACTAATTCTTTGGTTCTTCTCTTATTCACAACAAATAAATCATCAAGATCCTTTACATCCTGTTGCTTTTTTTCTCGTACCGTATCTCCAGGAGAAAATAATTATGCAATTGGAGAAAAATAATTATTATGAATAAAAGCTTATTTTGAAAGCTTGCGTCATTTACTTGAGGGAAGTGAAAAACCTATACTCGTCTACACCGACCATAAAAACCTTGAATTTCTACAGACTACTAAAACATTATCAGCACAAAGAATCTGTTCTTTCAAAGGTTCAGGTTTCACATAGTGTATAGACCTGGTTCAAAGAATAAAAAGGCTGATTCTTTCTCTATCACGTATGCATTCTCAGGATGATAACTCAAATGAACCTACTTCAATCACATCACCTTCTAAGTATATTGGAATAACTTCTCAATTTATAAACAAAATAAAACAAATTGATAAAGAAGAACTATCAATTCCCTTCTAACCGAACAAGAAGGTGTATGTTTCAAAAGGGACAAGTTGCATATTCCTCCTTCTCTAAGAAGCGTAGTATTAGAAATGGTCCATGATCTTCCTCTTGCTGGATACTTAGGAATAAAGAAAACCATCTAACAACCAGGCATTTTTGGTGGCCTGATTTAGTAAATACTGTTTCTTCCTATGTGTCCTCCTGCCACGTCTGTCAAACATCTAAACCTGTCCTCCAACATCCTTATGGATTATTAATGAATTTGCCTAGTCCTGATCGTTGTCCTGATCTCGCTGTCCTCCACCCACCCTGGACCCAAGACCAGGATCCAGTGGGTAGACCTCTCCTAGTCCAGAGAGCGAAGCAGGCTGCTCTTAAAAGAACAAGTGTTGTGATCCAAGGGAGTATAGTGATTATAGCAATCCCCAGAGTGTGTCTATAGCTCTCCAACCCCCAAAACAAATCTTGTTTAATGGTAGCCACAACTGGCCTTTTATGACAGTCCCCATGCAAGGGGCACTCCCCCCTAGACCTGAGAGTAAACCACAGTATTAACAAATACACAATAACATTAGCTCTCAGGTCCAGGACACTCCCATACAAAATAGGTCAATCCCTCCCCTATGCCTGAGAGATAATTGAGTTAAGCACTATACTAAACTCAATTATCTCCAAACACAAATTTTTACAAACCCCCAAAAATACATGAAAACACACAAAACCCCCACAAAAGTTACATCCCCTGACAGCCCTGATCTGGGTGACCAACAGATCCAAAAAACACTCAGATCAGTTCAGGAAAGTCATAGTTTTGGCCGACCGCACGCATGGTCCCATGCCCAAAACAGTTCCATAGAATCGCGGCTAAGTGCCGCTGGGGACCGACTGGGAACCGCAAAGTTTTCATGCCGAAAATAGTTCCAGGGCATTCGCGGCTAAGGCCCCCTGAAGTTTATTCACAGTTTTGGTCCATGCGAATGGCTGACGGTAAGCTAGCGTTTGGTTCTATGGAAAGTCCTGAACCAGGGTGAATAAAATATGGGTCTTTATAGTAGCTGACCTGGCCCATAGTCCTGAGGTAAGAGGCTGACCAGCAGGCCCTTCCAAGAACACGTGACGAGGCTCAGTTCATCACACAAACCACTATTCCTGTGGTTGTGGATCGTTTCACTAAAATGTCTAATTTTATTCCAATTTAAAAAATTCCTTCTTAACTCAAATTACCACACAGTCTATTATCATATTCCACAATTTATTGGGGGCTAAAATGTTCACTTATACTAATTTTAATACTGTAAGCCCCTTCTACTTCTTTTGCCATTTGTGTCCCGTTTACAGGTGTTTGCAGGGCATACTTATAGCTCTCTGCTGCTTTCCACGAAATGTGAGGGCTATAGCGTGTTATATCTCCGATTCATACAACCTCCCGTCTGCTCCCCCCAGCATGCTGGAGTGTATCAGCACTGCTCGCTTATATTAGAAGCTTGTTTTTTCGCCTTTGACAGCTACTGCCATTTTGTGCACACCATTTGCACTATCCGCATTCTGACTGAAGTAGGCAGATTACTGCTTCCCAGTCGAGCTCTGCATTACTTGCTATCTGCATTTACCAGATCACTGGCCTCCCAACATCCCAGTCGTATAGGGACAATTATAGTTATGGATTGTCAATCACAATTGTGGCTTCTTCAGCAACTTTTTAGTAAAGACGTAGACCAGGGATTTCAGGTCAATCATCAACCTCTGTCAGTTAAATACTTTTGTGATATTTCGACACTTCAAGATGGAGGGAATCCATCTCCATGGAGATCTACCTCATCCAGGTGACTAGTTTACAAGCCTGGACCTCACGGATGTCTACCTGTCTATGTCTATCAGTCAGTGTCTGTCTCTGTCAGTCACAGTCAGTCAGTATCTCTCAGTCTGTCTGTAGCGGTCAGTCAGTGTGTGTGTCTATCAGTCAGTAAGTGTCAGTCAGTATATGAGTATTTGCCAGTCAGTGTCTGTCTCTGTCAGTCAGTATCTCTCAGTCTGTCTGTGGTGGTCAGTCAGTGTGTGTGTCTGTCAGTCAGTGTCTGTCAGTCAGTCTGTGAGTATTTGCCAGTCAGTGTCTGTCTCTGTCAGTATCGGTCAGTCTGTGTAGAGGGATTACCGCTAAACCTTAAGAAGTATTAAGTGTATTTTGCCCATGTTCCCCATGGATTTGTGATTTCGTGTGTGTTTGACCTGCTCCCCATTCGGGAGACCGCGTACAAACAAAGCCTATTCGTCTCCCCAATACCCCATTTTGAATGTTTAGTTAGAATGTTCACACCTCACTAACAAGGTGTGAAAACCACAAACCGCAAGGGAAGCCTTGGCGTGTGCCAACCCTGGGTGGCAGCCCGTTCATTAGACGAACGCCATTCAGGGGGAGTATTAGCAGATTGCTTCCACCTCGTTCGGATTCCGAACAGGGACCTCCCTATTAATTAGTTTAATTGGGGTGTGGGTTATTTAAGCACTTTATCATGTTGTATCCCTTATGCATGATTAAGGCTCCGTTGAGCCGAAACATTGCACTTTATGAGGTGGTGTATCCAGAAATAAACTTACCTTCTTGATCCTGGAGTGTTGCCTGTGTTCCTCTGCTTCTGTGAGTCAGTCTGTGTCAGTCAGTATTTGTCAGTCTATGAGTCAGTCAGTGTCTGTCAGTCTGTCTGTCTGTATCAGTTAGTCACACAGTGTCTGTCAGTCAGTATGTCTGTGAGTCAGTGTCTGTATCAGTAAGTCAATCAGTGTCTGTCTCTGTCAGTCATTGTCTATGTCTGCCAGTCTGTGAGTCAGTCTGTGTTAGTCAGTGTCTGCCTGTCTGTATCAGTCAGTCAGTGTTGGTCAGTCTATGAGTCAGTCAGTGTCTGCCTGTCTGTATCAGTCAGTTAGTGTCAGTCAGTGTCTACCTGTATGTATCAGTGTCTGTCAGTCAGTCACAGTAAGTCAATCTGTGAGTCAGTCAGTCTCAGTCAGTCTGTGTCAGTCAGTCAGTGTGTCAGTCTCAGTCAGTCAGTCTGTGTGTCAGTCAGTCTCAGTCAGTGAGTGTGTCAGTCAGTCTCAGTCAGTGAATCAGTCTGTGTCAGTCTCAGTCAGTCTGTGTCAGTCTCAGTCAGTGTGTCAGTCTCAGTCAGTCTGTGTCAGTCTGTCTCAGTGTGTCAGTCAGTGAGTATATCAGTCAGTGTGTGTCAGTCTCAGTCAGTCAGTATATCAGTCAGTCAGTGTGTGTCAGTCTCAGTCAGTCAGTCAGTATATCAGTCAGTCTCAGTCAGTGTGTCAGTCTCAGTCAGTCTCAGTCAGTATATCAGTCAGTCAGTATATCAGTCAGTGTGTCAGTCAGTCTGTGTGTCAGTCAGTGTGTCAGTCAGTCAGTGTGTCAGTCAGTGTGTCAGTCAGTCTGTGTCGGTCAGTCTGTGTGTGTGAGTCAGTCTGTGTGTGTGAGTCAGTGTGTCAGTCAGTGAGTCAGTCAGTCTGTGAATCAGTCTCAGTCAGTGTGTCTGTGTGTCAGTTACTTTCAGTCAGACTGTGTGTCAGTCAGTGTCTCAGTCAGTCTCAGTGTGTCAGTCCCAGTCAGTCTGTGTGTCAGTCAGTATCAGTCCGTGTCAGTCAGTCTGTGTGTCAGTCAGTTTCAGTCTGTGAGTCACTCTGAGTCAGTGTGTCAGTCTCAGTCAGTATGTGAGTCAGTCTCAGTCAGTGTCAGTCTGCGAGTCAGTCTGTGTCAGTCTGTGTGTCAGTCAGTTTCAGTCTGTGAGTCACTCTGTGTCAGTGTGTCAGTCTCAGTCAGTATGTGAGTCAGTCTCAGTCAGTGTCAGTCTGTGAGTCAGTCTGTGTGTCAGTCAGTCTCAGTCAGTCTGAGTTATTCTGTGTATCAGTCAGTGTGTCAGCCAGTCTCAGTCAGTCTGTGTCAGTCTCAGTCAGTCTGTGAGTGAGTCAGTCTGTGAGTCACTGTGTCAGTCTCAGTCAGTCTGTGAGTCACTGTGTCAGTCTCAGTCAGTCTGTGTGTCAGTCAGTTTCAGTCTGTGAGTCACTCTGTGTCAGTCTCAGTCAGTATGTGAGTCAGTCTCAGTCAGTGTCAGTCTGTGAGTCAGTCTGTGAGTTATTCTGTGTGTCAGTCTGTGTGTCAGTCTCAGTCAGTCTGTGAGTCAGTCAGTCTCAGTCAGTGAGTCAGTGTGTCAGTCAGTCTCAGTTAGTCTGTGTGTCAGTCAGTCTCAGTCAGTTAGTCAGTGAGTCAGTCAGTCTCAGTCAGTGAGTCAGTCAGTCTCAGTCAGTCAGTATATCAGTCTGTCAGTGTCAGTCAGTATGTCAGTCTGTCAGTGTCAGTCAGTATGTCAGTCAGTATATCAGTCAGTGTGTCAGTCAGTATATCAGTCAGTGTGTCAGTCAGTCAGTATATCAGTCAGTCAGTATATCAGTCAGTGTGTCAGTCAGTATATCAGTCAGTGTGTCAGTCAGTGTGTCAGTCAGTCAGTATATCAGTCAGTCAGTCAATCAGTCAGTGTGTCAGTCAGTATATCAGTCAGTGTGTCAGTCAGTATATCAGTCAGTCAGTATGTCAGTCTGTCTATCAGTCAGTCAGTGTGTCAGTCAGTCAGTCTGTCTATCAGTCAGTGTGTCAGTCAGTCAGTATATCAGTCAGTGTGTCAGTCAGTCAGTGAGTCAGTCAGTCTATCAGTCAGTCAGTCTATCAGTCAGTCAGTGTGTCAGTCAGTCAGTATATCAGTCAGTGTGTCAGTCCGGGCCCATCAGTCATCAGTGTGTCAGTCAGTCAGTATATCAGCCGCGTGTCGTCATCAGTCCATCAGTCAGTGTCAGCCTCGTCTATCAGTCAGTGTGTCAAGCTCGCCCATCGCCGTCAGTATCAGTCAGTGTGTCAGTCAGTCCATCAGTCAACAGTGTGTCAGTCAGTCAGTCTATCAGTCAGTCTATCAGTCAGCCGTCAGTCAGTCAGTCTATCAGTCAGTCAGGCACAGCCGCGTCAGTCAGTCAGCCCATCAATGCGTGTCAGCCGGGGCCAGTCTATCAGTCAGTCAGTCAGTCAGTCAGTGTGTCAGCCGTCTATCAGTCAGTCTATCAGTCAGTCAGTCAGTCAGTCAGTCTATCAGTCAGTCAGTCTATCAGTCAGTGTGTCAGTCAGTCAGTCTATCAGTCAGTCAGTCAGTCAGTGTGTCAGTCAGTCTAGTCAGTCTATCAGTCAGTCAGTCAGTCAGTATATCAGTCAGTCTATCAGTCAGTCAGTCTATCAGTCAGTCAGTCAGTATATCAGTCAGTGTGTCAGTCAGTCAGTCAGTCTATCAGTCAGTGTGTCAGTCTATCAGTCAGTCAGTGTGTAAGTCAGTCAGTGTGTCAGTCAGTCAGTATATCAGTCAGTCAGTATATCAGTCAGTCAGTGTGTCAGTCAGTCAGTATATCAGTCAGTCTATCAGTCAGTCAGTGTGTCAGTCAGTCAGTGTGTCAGTCAGTCTATCAGTCAGTCAGTGTGTCAATCAGTCAGTATATCAGTCAGTGTGTCAGTCAGTGTGTCAGTCAGTCAGTATATCAGTCAGTCAGTGTGTCAGTCAGTCAGTGTGTCAGTCAGTCAGTCAGTGTGTCAGTCAGTCAGTCAGTCTATCAGTCAGTGTGTCAGTCAGTCAGTCAGTCAGTCTATCAGTCAGTGTGTCAGTCAGTCT